TACATTTTCAACATTTGCTAGACATCTTTTTAAGATGTCTAGCAAACATCTTAGCAAACAAATGTACAGGTGCCTGCCTGTACATTTTCAACATTTGCTAGACATCTTTTTAAGATGTCTAGCAAACATCTTAGCAAACAAATGTACAGGTGCCTGCCTGTACATTTTCAACATTTGCTAGACATCTTTTTAAGATGTCTAGCAAACATCTTAGCAAACAAATGTACAGGTGCCTGCCTGTACATTTTCAACATTTGCTAGACATCGTTTTAGCTAACCTAGCAGGTGGTTAATGCCACCTATAACACATTTTATATAAATTTTCTTTGTAAGAAATTGCCATTGTTAATTTATAGTTCCTTTCCCATACGTTTTACCATTTCTCTAGGTCACACAGCAAGAAAGCATCCCTGCAGGAAGACACGTAGCATCTAAAAATCAAACACTGCCTTTTTTTCCTGAGCTTTTGTGTTAATACAGAACAGGGGTTCTTGGTGATGAATTGTGGAAATCTCCCAAGAGAATTACATAATTTTTCTTAATTCAGATATAGAGAGGCTGTTAAAGTTTGTTTTTCTGTTCCACAGGTTTTCGGAGTTATTTGAACTTTGTTAAATCTTTAGCTTTACAACCTGACTTTCCTATAGGTGCTGAGTGCAATATAGATAGCAGAAACTCCTAACCTTTTGAAAAGATTATAGTATTTTCCTATTGCATGTAATATTTGCTGCGTGCTGAGATTTATGTTTTTATTTATTATGCTTTACAGACTTCAACTGGTTTGTAATAAAAACCCCATCAAGATCACAATATAAAATAGCCCACGTTTTCATTAAAATTATAGTAAAATTCCTTCTGTAAGGACGATCCCCAGTGGCCTTAGAAATCTTTAGACCACTGCAAGCTTTGGAAGATCTTAATCCTTTGATCCACATCCACGCAGCCACTGAGCCTTAGCTTGTGTTTTTCTGCCTACAGAGGAACTTCATGAGATGCACAGAAGACAACCCCATCTTTGAAGGCATTGATTGTGAAATCTTCGAATCCCGTTATCCAACCACCATGGCACTCTCCGTGCTGGTGACAATTGAGATGTGCAACGCACTCAACAGGTACTATTGGGTGTGTCTTGAGGAAGAAAAGCAACACACTGAGGCTACTTTCATTTTTTTTTAAAGGGGGATTGATAATATTTAAAAAGTGCAGGATTTAGAGTGCCGTTCTTCCCAGAAATCTTGAAACTGACACATGCTTTGTTGATGCATCTGCAGTATGCGGATGTCTATTATGAATGAAAACAAGCTTGCCTATATAATTTTCTTCCACGGCATAAATTCTTGAAATCACTGCCTGTCCAAATCTCTGGAGAAAGTCATGTCAGCAGCATGTTAGGGAGTGCAGTGGAGTTTGAAGGACAACAAACATTTATTTCATTTGTGCTTGTCTCTTGGTTTATCTCTTGGGTATTTTAACTGCCAGGGATGGAGTGAGATGCTGTGGAGGGGGTTCCTGTCCAGTTAACTTGCCAGGATATTGAACGTGTCTTGTAGGATCAACAGAATTTGTTTTTAGGCTGCAACATAGGTTGGATGACTACTGACATGGAGACCTTTTTTAATAATTCTGTACCATCCATGTGCTTTGTATGGTTGTAGGTGTTGAGCTATCAACTTTAGATACCGTACAGATATTATCGATCCCTTTTTTAAAAATGAAAGTAGTCTTAGTGTGTTAGTTTTCATTTCTGGCCTTCCAGAAATTCTGGAAGGCCTGTTTTTCCCCTTCCCCAAGCCTCCGCATGGGCCCTGTACTTAACTCACATCCAAAATGGGCTGCGTGGGGGCTCCTGGGGGAGGGGCAAGGTGGGGTGGAAGGGGCAGGGAGGGTGGGCAGGGAGGGGCCAGCCAGGGGTGGCATTTTGGAGGTCCTCTGAACCGGCCATAACATTAGTTACGGGTTCTCTCAAACCTGGGCAAACCCATAGCACCCCTTGGACCCATGACACAGAGAGAAAACCAGGGGAATGTAGAATGTAGATGCCGTCAGAAAGCTAAGGAATTGGGCATGCATGATTAGCTTCTGTCTCCTCTACAGTGTGTCTGAAAACCAGTCGCTGCTCAGGATGCCTCCCTGGCTGAACATCTGGCTCCTAGGAGCCATTGTTATTTCTATGGCTCTGCATTTCCTGATTCTGTACGTGAAGCCATTCCCTGTAAGTAGCGTCTCTTGCACCCAAATTGGATTTAGAAGGTTCTCACTGAGCCACGCCCAATCTCCACTGCTCTCTTTGGATTCCTGGTGGCAATGATGGGCAATGTTGGTTTCAGGATTCCAGAATCCCAGGATTTTAGCTCACAGTTGGGGGAATTCAGATACTAACATTTCCAAAAATCAACAGCAGGGTTTCCTCCCTTTTTGAAGCAGCAAGCACACAGAAAGGAGACTCTAAAGCAGTATTTCTCAACCTTTGCAAATTTAAGACTGTAGACTTCAACAGCTGCCTTGGGGAATTCTGGGAGTGAAGCTTCCCAGTCTTAAAGTTGGTAACTTTGAGAAACACTGGTCTGAAACAACAAAAGAATGTAAAAAATGCAAATGAATAGTAGTTGCACCTGGTTTTGGGAGGGCCCACACCTCTTCCTCAAAAAGTTACATATGGTTCCTGATTCCAAAATAATACCCATCCTGAAATTTCTTGGTCCTTCAGCAAGTCTGAGTATCCTTCAGATTTTTCTCTTTGGAACACTGTAGAAGCAACAACATTCCCAGGCTGAGTTTTGAAGGTAGCAATAATACTTAGACTTATATACCACTTCACAGTGCTTTACAGCCTCTCTAAATGGTTTACAGAGTCAGCCTATTGCCCCCAGCAATCTGGCTCCTCGTTTTATCCACCTCGGAAGGATGGAAGGCTGAGTCAATCTTGAACTGGTGAGCCTTGAACTGCTGGCAGTGGGCAGAATTAGCCTGCAATACTGCATTCTAAGCACTGTGTCACCACAGGTCTTGACGTAATCCGCATTATTTTCTTATCTTGCAGCTGATCTTTCAGGTGATCCCACTTAGCTGGCCTCAATGGGAGAAAGTGCTGCAAATCTCTTTGCCAGTTATCCTGCTGGATGAAGGCTTGAAGTATCTCTCCCGTAACCATTTAGATGGTGAGTGCCCTTGCAGCGGGATTCCCCGTCAGCTTCGTGGCTTGTTAATTGTGTTGCTGTAAGGCACAGCTTGGATTGCAAAAGTAGAAGAGACAGTATAAAATAAATACCAAAACCCAAATCTTCCTGATTTAATTAAGATAATATTTTAAATTATGGCAGCATCGTTTTCCAGAGCTGTTATGAACAAGCAATGAAAGCTATTTATTTATTTATGAAATGTATTTATTTATGAAATG